TCATGGAATGCTAGTTGCCGCATTCAGGCTGTAATCAACATCACGAGCGCCACCATAGGATAAATGGCAGAAAATCGAAACACTAAGTCAGATTTAATGGTAAAACAGGACAGAAGACAGAGATAGAATATAGCTTATGTCGTGCTGTTTTATCATGTTTATCAGAGTTCAGAACCAATTATATTATAATTGGTTCTGAACTCTGATAAACATGATAAAACAGCTATATTCTATCTCTGTCTTCTGTCCTGTTTTACCATTAAATCTGACTTAGTGTTTTGATTTTCTGCCATTTATCCTATGGCGGCACTCGTGATGTTGATTACGTGTTAGACCAGGCAAAGTGGAGGCAACTAGCAGTCCATGATTATATAGTCAAAGGTCAGGGCTATCAAAGCGCTGGAATTGGAGATCTCAGCGAGGAAAACGGAGGCAGTATGGATGCGCGATGGCTCTGGAGGAACACCACCAGAAACATACATCAGAGTTGAGGACATAGACGTTCGGGTAGAGGCCCAAATCAAGTATTTGGGTCTTTACATCGACGGACTATGGAATTTCAAGGAGCACTTTTGCAGATTGGAACCTAGGCTGAGTGGGGCGGCCAACGCGCTCTCTAGGCTGATGCCCAATTTGGGAGGACCTAGCGGAAGAACGCGAAAACTTTTCGCTAACGTCCTGAGTTCCATAGCTCTATACGGAGCTCCGGTGTGGTCTGAAGCCTTGGATCACAAAAAATCCAAAGCCGTCACCATCTTGAATAAAGCCCAGAGGAGAATGGCAGTGAGAATAGTTAGAGCGTATCGCACAATATCACATACTGCGGTTACGCTATTGGCAGGAACTCCACCGATCGACCTGGCGGCGAAAATGTATACCGCTATGTACGAGAGAGTACAGGAGATGAAGAGAGGAAGAGTACCCATAACATCGGGAGTGAGACGGGCCATCCGAGTTCAACTGAAGGATGCAATAAGGGAAGAGTGGCGGGCCAGACTCGGCGTGCCGGGTAGACCAGGCCGTAGGACCATCGAGGCCATACTTCCTTATCTCGACGAATGGTTGGACCGTTCGTGGGCCCGCGCGACCTTCAGAACGACACAGGTGCTCTCCGGACATGGTTGTTTCGGGGAGTACCTGTGTCGAATAGGCCGCGACAACGACCCCAAGTGCAATCATTGTGATGGGGTCAACGATACGGCCCAGCATACTCTCGAAGAATGCCCGGCTTGGGAGACGGAACGTCGAGCACTGTCAAATGCTGTAGGTGGAAACTTATCACTGCGCCGAGTGATAAAAGCCATAGTGAGGAGCGAAGAGGCGTGGACTGTGTTCTCAAAGTTCTGCGAGCAAGTCATAGGGACCAAAGAGGAGGCAAAGAGAATAAGGAGGGGAGAGAAAGATCCCCCTCCTGACAATCTCAGAAGAGGAGGCGCCCCACCTGTACGCAGGAGGGGAGCGCATAGACAAGCGGCTCATCTAAGAGTATGGTAGGACAGAGACAATGCTCTGTGAAGTACCTCACAACAACGGGGTACAGGGACTAAGGGTCCCCTTTCAGGCGTACGGGAGCCGCTATCGAATAGCCCCGGGGTATCCCCTGCCTGTCGTAAGAGGCGACTAAAAGGGGAGGAGAAGTAGGAGAGGTCTGGGACCCTCGGGGGTGAGCACAGGCTGGGATACCTGTGACCCACCCGCCCCCGACAAACAACTAGGGGGCGCAGCGGGGACTCGGTGGCACCCCCGCTGCGAAAAGGAGGAGCGTGGCCCTAACAACAACAACAGGGCTGTGAGGTGAGCCCGTCTCAGGGCTAAGTTCCCACGTTGGGAATATAGAGGTGCGCGCAACTCCAACGCGCGCGGCGCGGGGTCACCTGGCAGTGATGCTATGGCGATCCCTAGGTGACCCCCAATCAGCGCCAAGAAGTCCACCCCCGGTGGGTTTAGTGCGGTAATTCCTCCGTTGCACTACTGGCATCGAGTAAGCCACAACACTCGAGCGCCAGGGAGACACGTCCCACATACCACCTCTCCCTGTCCCAGCAGATCGAGGGGTGATGATCCATAAAGGATTCCCACCGGGTAAAAAAAAAAAGGTTGTACGAATGGAAATGAAATTTTATTTGTATACTGTATTATAAAAAACAAGAAATATATAATAAAATAAAAATATCACTAGAAAATAAAAAATAATCGCTCTTACGTATTACATTTTCAGAGCTGTTGACGATTTGGCCCATGTTTGGGCCATTGTTACGGTTCACCGCCTATCGCCCGACCCCTCCCTACCCTATTCAGCTTCAAGTTGTCGAGGTGCGTATCCGTCGAATGTGAATGCTGTTGAAACGCGGGTGTTAAAAATCTTTTTGTATGTAATTCATTTTAAACTCCGTGTGTCGGCAGTAATTACATACAAAAAGATTTAACATTGCAATAATCACGTTCGACAGATACGTAACTACTACCTGAAGCTCAATAGGTAGGGAGGGGTCACAATAGGCGGTGAATCCTAAGAATGGCCCAAACATCGGCCAAATCGTCGACAGCGCTGAAAACGTCAAACTAACAATTAAAGGTTATACGCACGTTTTTTAAAATATATAAATAATCATGTTAAAAATTAATGTCTACTGACGTCGACTGCGTTTAATCTCTTTTTCTACTTTGTACAGTTGCACTTGCAGCTCGAGTTTTCTTGTCTCCAGTTTCAGCTGCACTATTTTTTTTCCGCCTCAATCATCTGGCTGTCCGTCTTTATGGTTTCGTCCCGCAACACAAAAGGACACGATAAGTTTTATTAATAAGCATGTGCATATATATGTAGTCTTATTAATTGTATGTGATGTATGAGTAATATATCATGTATGAAATAGATTGTTGCGAATATCTTACCGATGTCGATGCGGCGTCGACGTCGGTGGCGGCGGCGGCGGCGGCGGCGGAGGAGGTGGAAACGGAGGCGGCTGCGACGGCGGTGGAGGAGGACGTGGAAACGGAGGCGGCTGCGGCGGCGGCAGGTTCCGACACGTTCAATGTGGCGGCGGCTGCTGCCTTTATCGCGTCGCGGAACACGTTTATCATATTGTTTCCCTGCAACATAAAAATGTATATGTGTACTTGCAGTTCCACCTGTCCTACAATTTCCACTCTGGTACGTACCTCCGTGTCGTGGTGGTGGTCGTCGTCGTCCTCGTCGTCGTCATCTCCACGTTGTTGTTGTTGGGAATGATCTGTGACATCAAGACGTTCCAATTATTACAATGATATATCTTGCAGTTTACAAACCAATGCAGTAAAATGCGCATTAAACGCACGTTATACGCGCATTGGCGCTCCTTGGGGATGCACTGCCACGATAAATACGCATTAATTATACATTTTATGCGCATGAATATATATACATAAAATGTACATTTAATGCGGGGCATTTAATGCGAATTTTAATGCACATTTAGAGCGCATTATACGTGCATTGCCGCTCCTTGGGTGCCGCACAACTCGTCACTTACCTCGCTTACGCCAACCTCGGGACTTGCGCAGCAGTGCCCTCGTTTTTTCCACGACCTCGTCGTCGTCGTCTTCTTCGTCTGCGTATTAAGAAATGATTATTTTATGTCGACATGACGTAGTACGTTTGCGATATTTACGACATACCTGCCGGTTTACGGGCTGCCTTTTTCATGCCGTACCACAGGTTCTTGAGACCGGCGACCGTCCTGTGCCCGTCGGAAGGCCCTTTGCCCAGATTAAAATCTATTTGGACTCTTGTCCACGCTTCCTCCCTCGCCTTGAATGCGTAAGGGCTCAGGCGAAGGAGGTCGCTACGGCGCAAGACGTCCAGCAGCCGCATCTTCTCGCCCACGGAATAATTCTTCTGTCTGTTAGCCATACCAATATCTGAAAAAATCACGTAGCGTTAATACAATATACCGCGAGCAATAGGAACAATTTTCCAGATTGCCGATATCAAACGTACCTTTCTTTGTGGAACAAGTGTTAACGTCGTCCGTCTCCTTGCGGTGTCGAGATACGTCTGCGAGACACGAGTTACGACCGGTGTAGAGATGCTCGAGTAAGAGATGTACCTGCGCGCCAACGCGCCTGCGCGGCAACAAGTCTGCGTGCCAACGACCCTGCGCGCTAACGAACCAATGATTGCGCATCTCTATTAAGATATTCGAGAGGAAATATTTGCGGCTGTATCGCAAGTATTTCGTTTTGAAAACTCGTGTCAACGTCAATTACACGTATGCTACAGACATATTTTTTACCGCTCCTTTGAATTGTAAAAATTTAGTCTACTCGCTACTCGAAATGTTTTATTGGCTGTAGTACTCGCAGTTGAATGCGCATCGAGAGCATGTAACTTTTGTGTATGTAGCCAGTTAAATTATAATATATAAAGAAGGGAATTGACTGACGATAACATTTCCACTTACGGGGATTAACTTGTGTTATATAAGACTGGTATGTAACTGGCGCACAGGATATAAGTTGGAAAGGCATATATGAATTCTCTCCATCGTTGATTCAACTGGCTACTTGTACCTTAAATTTCTAATTGATTTTATATCTTTAAGGACCTATGTTAACAATCGTAGCATGTAATTTTTAACTCGCTGAATAATACTATATCTGTAGTATCGTATTATACGCCACGCTACTTGAATTATCGTATTACTCGCTGTAGGAAACATATACGACTATTTCGTCGCTCTTACTCGTGACATTGTAGCTCGTTCGCTGGCCATAGATACGGTACAGGCGCACGCGTGCGCGGTGACTAAAGAGGCGGTCACATGGAAACGCCTACGAGAAAAGATGGAATGCTAATGCTATTGTACGCACTCGCAATCAAGTTTGTACGCAACAAATACGTATTCTGTACTCAAACTGTACACCGTATTGTGTCTATTCGACAGCAAAATCCATCGAGTGTGTAACATATTATATTCAAAGCATACACTGTATTATCTGCTTTACAGAACAAGTATTAAACATTTCGTATCAAAATCATACTGTATTCTCTGCTTTACACCAAAATCCATCTAGTATCTGTAGCACCACTTGCTTTATTTCTCACAAAAATACAGAGAGCCTCCTTCCTTAGGTTGAAATCACATGATGCAGAATAGGAGTACGGAATAGAGAGTGCGTTATAGAAACGGGAAATCAGAGCTTTGCCGTATCAACGAGTGACGGAAATGTCTGGCTCTGATTGGTTGCTTCTATGACGCACGTTCTATTCCGCAGTTCTATTCTGCACCATGTGATTTCAGCCTTAGGCTGATTGCCTGTTTCCATAACGCACTCTCTATTCCGTACTTCTATTCCGGTTCATGTGATTTCAGCCTTACGTCTGTCTTG